AAAACGAAGAGAACAGCTGGGACCAATTAATTCACTTTTAGTCTTTGATCTAATCAGGGAATCACATTCGAACTACTTTCCTAGAGTCATCAAGAGTAAACAAAACTGCATGAATGAGATAGGTAAATATCGTAAATATCGCTAAACGAATTATTGTTGTCATGCGAATTGTTGCACCTTGATACGGCTTTGAACGAACCTTCCTAAGATCTTGGCTACAATTGATCAGCTGGAGACGAGTCGCAATTTGTCAAATATTTAGAGATGTTGGTAATACGCACTGTTCTTCCAACCATTCACTACTCCTCTATATGCTATGTTGGATTTAGCCTTTGCGACTGACTCTGTCTTTTGATTTTAAATTGTTTCTTCCTCTTAATGAATTTAGTTCTTCGAATGAGCACAAGGATGGTTCACCGAATCGAATGGTTGTGCGCCATCGTCGAACCAATTTACCTCACGCATCAATGGAACCGGAAGGACTTTCATCCGATGCGGATGAGGAGGAGGCCGAAGATGAATTCGAAAATGTAAACACCGGATTCCTTCTACCTGGTAGCATGGAATCCGCTCCTGCCGAACGTCATCCAACCTCGTGGTCTCGTGGTACAACTCGTATTCGAGGAATAATTACAAATCGTCCGAAGCCGGCGCCGTTGAGACTAAAGACGGCCTCTTGCCTGCCAGATTCGGGGCACACGACAGGTGAGGATGAAGCAGATTTGTTAGTACCTGCTCCTGAACTCGCTGAAATCCAAGTGGAACCGGAACCAAACGATCATAGTCCTTGCTTGGATGAAGCCTTGTCATCTGCTGATGCTCGTTCCAATCTGTTTTCACGGGATCCATGGGGCAGTCCAAATGCCACCTCCCTTTTCTCTCCCACTCGGGGCCACGAAGCTGATGGTGAAGAGAGTGAAACGGAATTGCACAATGATCATCATACTCGACCAGCAGTTGTTGTTCTGAAGTCCGAAAAACCAAATCTACAGTCACCCCAGAATGCCGACCAAACAGAACCATGCTGTTTGATTTCCGATCAATTTGCCAAACAGAAGAAGACAAACTCGGCATCAGTTGACCGGGTATCATCAAATCCTCTCAAGGTGCAACGCTTATCCGGCTCCAATCTGAATGTGGACCATATGGATTCTGTATTGGTCCCATCGGTAAGTCCATTTCACTGCACCTGTTTTTTTTAGCAAATCAACGGTGACTGAAACTAAAAGGGGAATATATATATATATATATATATATATATGGTATGCAGCTGTGTATCAAGTAGAAGATGGTACGATTATCTTTGGAGAAAATGAAGATATGCAAATGTTAAAAATGCAACAACGAAAACAAAAAACAAATTTGTGATGCAATATTGAATAACCAGAATAGAGTTGGTGCGTTCAGTGAATCACGTGTTTTCCAATAACATGTGACAGGGAACTTGCCTTTTTTCAAACACAAATTGCCTCGGCCCTCTCCTCTTTGACTGCGTTCTTCGAATTTTCATTTCCTTACATAATTTACTCGTTCATATCTCAATGTGAATAATACCAACTGTTTCAGTAGCACAAACCAAGGAAGTTATACAGTATCGCACATCGGTTGCCTAGGATCCTCATTCCAGCTTCCGAATATGCCTACAGTTTTTCTTGTTTCATTTATATTCGATTGTGCTGGTCGTGGTCTGCGTTCCGCAAACGGTAACAATCCGCTGGAATTCGCTCGGTTGGAACTCAGATAAGGATGACACTCATAAACTTAAGTATTGGAAACAGATGCACTCAACTTCAAAGTACCCAATGGGGTTTGAGTTGTTCGGGGGTTCACGAAGGGAGAAAACACATCTGGGTTATTTTGGTAGACTACACATGTGTGACCAATTTTCTCTTCAGGGTGGAAGGGGGTGACGGTCAACCGAAGGCTACCAGAAGACACGAAAAAATGTTTTTCTATGTGCTTTTTAATGTGAGGATACGAGTTGAGAACAACGTTTCGTAAAGAGACGTACAGGGGCATGGATGCTACAGAACACAGTTCGCCAGTCTAGACATTTGTTAATTCTTAATGGCTGATGGTATGTGCTCCGATAACCTCTACATCACCAGTTTGGGTTCATTCTCGAATCCCATCCAGAATATTACTACCGCATTCTTGCTGCTCTTCTAATACTGATCCCAATACCCTCACAATCTTGTCACTTCACTTCTTGACTGTCCTGGGAACTGATTGGGCGTCAAATTAGCCTGTTTTCGCTTGGACAACTCGGTAGTAACACGGACTGTTGTACCGTTTTACATACAGTCTAGACCTGTACGCAGTCGAAATGTAATTCAATGATTCAGCTGGGAGATAATTACTAACCTTTGGTGAGTGAAAAGGTGCTTAGTTTAACGTTTTCTTGTTCAAAGATGGTCTTCCTGCTTAGAATAAATGACCAAGTGGTAGAAATTGGCGTCACATCCGGTATATGCAAAATCGAAGTCGGTAAATTCGCCCTCACGCCTCGAAGTTTTCATTTTGCTCAAACCGCGAACAACATCTACTTTGAGAAGACTATGCTAATAATAATTTCAACGATATAGAACACCGAAGTCGACCTTCTTTCATCTTTAAATCACACACGAAACCAATCATTCACCTAAATCAAAGGCTTCCCGACCCACCAGTCACAGGTATTGGTTTTCGGACTTGGACTGTTTCGTCCATATTTTCGACCTACCACCAATTTCCTTTGTGAATAATTGCAGTCCTAGTAAGAGTTTCTCTTCTACCTAGTCGGTCGTTTACACTCTAGCCTGAGTGATCACACAATCTGATTAGATCGTAGTTACTCCGGTCACGCGATCCTGTCCTAGGAGACCCAATCACCTACCAAGGTGTATCACCTAACTCCGGGATCCGGTATTTTCTTTATCTATATGCAACCATGGTAGCCGAATATTTTTTCGCCTGCTTTTTCCATGATAAACTGCCAAATCACTTGGTTAGTTAGTTAGTTAACTAGTGATCTGCTCAGTCATCACGTGATTTAGTCCTGCTGTTCCAACAGGATACTGTCAGCATTTTATTGAGCCAGTAAACGGCACGTTCAACCAATGCTCCAAAGATATGTTTTATATCCATGCTTAAAGATGTGCTGGATAGCTTTCAACCAACTTAACTGATTTCTGGACTCCCTAAAGAAAGCAGTTGGTTTACTGTAAAACCCACTTTCTACCGTTGATACTCCAGACTATGGTTAACCCTGTTTTTAACTCCCTCGACAGAATTTGGTCAGTTCCGTCGTTCTTGGACATTTCCCTAGTTTTGGCTGTTTGTGGGGTGCAATACTTTTCCGCTTCTCGTCCGTGGACGATTCATCGAACTAACCCGAATTTGGCTCGGAATTCTACGTTTTCTCATCCCCTCAGATTCATTTGTTTTCAGGTATCGCTTGATCTTCCAGTTTTTATTCATCCAATCGTAGTACAAAGTTATGGAAAATTACGTATAGTCTTCTTGTTCTTAGTATGTTGTTCAATTTTTAAGGGTCGTTTTTATTCCTCGCGTTTTGATTGCATCATACAAGGAATGTAATGTGTGATTGGCGACAGGTCGTTGAACTGTTTTTCGCCCTTGGTGATACTGATCGGCAGCGCATACTATCTGTGTCTCTGATAGGACTCGAACCGCAAACATTCGGGTGGAGAATCTCTCTCTGCATATATATATATATTTCATTATAAATACTATGTGAATGACTGGACAAATTTTCCCTGGAACTTCCCTGATATATATATATATATATATATATATATATATATATATATATATATATA